CCTCGGGAAGGGAAGGGGTGGCGCGGGCGCCTCTGAGCGCGCGCAGAGTGCCTCTCTGGGATTAAAGCGGGGCGTCTCGGAAATGGGGAGAGATGGAGCTTTCAAAGGCTCCGTGGTGAGCTCCAGGCTCTTGTTTGGAGAAATTTAAGAGTCCGGCTTGTGGACGACAAAACCTTTTTTTGGGAGAAGAAAAGATTGTTTTAATTCAAGGTTTTAGTTCTGCAATGTCTGAAGTAGTGAGGGAGAATCTCAAAAGAGACAGGAGAACGCCATTTGGTCTGTGGCAGGTGATATCTTTCTTTCTTTGCTGCACCTATATGCTGTTTTTCCTCTGCTGAGTTCTGTAGAAGATCATCCCCCTTTTCCCACTTTATCCTCCCAACCTACCTGCAAGGTAGACCAGGGAGAGAGGGAAGGAGGGAGGCTGGGTCCAAGCTTCCCCAGCCAGCAATCCCATATCCTAGCCAGATATTCTAATCACTGAAAACACACCAGCTAGCTGTCCAGATGGTTTGGGACTACAATTCCTATCTGCCCTCCTTGGAGACTTTCCTTGGGAGAGAAAACCTCTTTCCAGCCTCTTTTCTAGGTTCAACTGCCCAGTGCCTCTTACTGTTGGGTAGTTGAGCCAACCCTTCATCCAAAGTCCACGCTCCAGCGACTTCAGACCCTTAGGGTCCTGTCCTGCCTTCTGGAGCAGGAGAGAATAACTCTTTGTTCTCTCTTTAGGTGAGAGTCCTTGTGGGAACTGAAGGATAATTATGTTTTCCTCCCCCCCAGCCTTTTGTTCTCTGGGTTAAACATATCCAGCCTCATCCAAGAACCTTTTTTTAAAATGCGTACTTGCGGCTCATTACTATCTTGGTTTCTCTCCTCTGGACCCGTTCCTGTTTGTTTCTTGACATGACTGTCCTCCAGATGAGGTCTGACTGATATAAATGGAATTCTTACTTCTCTGAGTGTGCAGAGTGGCCCCCTCCTCCCCCAAGCTGGGGAAAAGTGGGAATGCTAAATAACCACCAGAGTCTTATACCTTGGCACAGTATCCTTTCCTAAGGAGGAGAGCGCCCTGTGAGATTAAGGAAACTGGACTTTTTAATGGTGGTGGGTGTTGTCAGAAAAAGGAGCTTCGTTGTGAGATCTAGGACTAACCCAGCGTAGATTCACTTAAAATATTGGATTGGTTTTTCCTGCAACAATAGGTGAGTCTTCAAAGCCACACAGAATTCTTGATC